TGTCCAAGACAGTTTTGTGCACACAACTGGCACCTTGGTTTTAAGGGGGCTGATCAGGCCTCTCTCATAGAATGGTCAGACGTCTTACATGGTGGCTTAAGGTTCCAAGAGAGTTAAAAGAGAAGCTGTTGGTTCTTTTAAGGTCTAGGCTTAGGTACTGACCCAGTACCACTTCCCCCATATTGCATTAGTCAAAATAAGTCAAAAGGCTGACTCAGTTTTAGAGAGTGAGAAAACTGACTCCACCTCTTGATGAGGAGGACTGACATGTACATTCGATTAGGAGGGTACTACAGTATTTCAGGTGAAAGATAATGGTAGCTTGGGAAAGGGGATAACAGAATTTGGGAAGACTAGTTGTAATCTGAATACATGTTGAAGGTAGAGCCGAATGGATTTGGTAACGAATAGTGGCTTAGTCTGCTTGGGCTGCTGTAACAAAATACCATCAAACTGGGCTGCTTAAACAATGGAAATTTATTTTCTCACATTCCAGAGGCTGGAAGTCTGAGATCAGGGTTCCAGGATGGTCAGGTTCTGGTGAGATCTTTCTTTCTGGCTTGCAGATGGCCACCTTCTTGCTATGTCTTCATATGGTCTTTCCTTGGTGTATGCTCACGGAGAGAGATATTGTAGCAAGGCCATCAGTCCCATCAGACTAGGACCTGCTTCCCCCCTCCCCCCCATGACCTTAATTATTTCCTTTTAAAAACCCTATCTTCAAAGGTTGTCACATTGAGGGTTAGAGCTTCCACAGAGCAATTTTGGGGAATGCAATTCAGTCCATAGCAAACACGATGTAGAATGCGAAAGAGAGGAGTCAAGGACGACTACAGTTTTTTAAGGCTGACCGACTGGAAAAAGAGATTTACATTAACTGAAATAGGGAAAATGCTGAAGAGGTGGGCTGGGGGGATTGATATGTTCAGATACGTGAATACGGCAATGGGATATGAATTTTCTGGAGTGGGGACATAAAGGGGGCATGTAAAACCATCCGAACGAGATCGACACGAAAATAAGTGTATTAGAGAGGATGTCTTTTGAGCAACTGACTGTTCAGTTTGAGGATATGAGAAGGAACGACAAAGGACTGAGAACTGGCTAGTGAGGTAGAAGGAGGGCCAAGAGAATGTGGTGCCTGGAAGTGGTATGGGGAATAACTGTGTTACATGCTGCTTACAGGTTAGGTGAGATGAGGAATAATCACCAGATTTATTGATCACCAGATTTATCAATGTGGAAGTCATTAGTGATATTGGCATCAGCAATTTCTGAGCAGTGATGGCCTGACGACAGACGGACCCAGGAAGAATGGGAATAGGGGTAGTATAGAGGTTTTACTGTAAAGAGAGAGAAATGGTGGGTAAGTCGGAGATAGAAGTGGAGTCAGGAGACTCTTTTAAGATGGATGATAGGACAGCGAGTTTGTACGGTGATGGGAATGATGCAATAGAGAACAGAGGAAGAATAATAATAGAGGAGAGAAAGGGAAAAGCTACTAGCACACAGGGAAGGAAAAATACCCCTCTATTTGCAAGGCATGTCCCCTTCTCAGTGAGGTGTTTTCCAACTACTCTATGTCCATTGCAACTCTTACCCTCACCACTGGCAACCCTCTTTCACCTCTTTTTTTTTCCTTCATGTTTTCTCCATAGCAACGATTGTTTTCTAATGCTATATGCTTAATTTGTCCTCATCTGTCTCATCTCATTAGAAAATAAATTTCATGTGCCTAGGAATCAGCAATCCTTAGAACAGTACCTGTGCATGGTAGGTGCTCGATAAATATTTGTCGAGTGAGTTGAAAATGGCTGAGTTCTCTATGGCACAAATCACATGGCCAGACATAAATTAGGCAAGGCAGTATCTGTTGAACATTATCAAATCTGTAAGGCTGAAGTACTTTGCATCTTTTTAATTATAGATTTTTAAAAATAAATGTAAGCCATTTTGCTTAATGCTCTTCCTCAGTAACACTGAAGTATGTCTGTGTATCTACTTGGATATACTTACAGGATTTGAAATGAATGTTTCCCATCACCCTTTCAAACATTTTCTTTAACAGCTTTATTGACATACTTCGTTTATCTACAATTCATTGATTTAAAGCGACAAATACAACAGTTTTCAATATAGTCAAAATATGAGCAACCATTCTCACAATTTTTTAACATCTTTATCACCACAAAAGGAAATCCCATACACTTTAGCGACCTTTCTCCTGTCCCCCTCCCCAATACCTCTCAACCCCAAACTGTAAATCTGCTTTGTATAGATTTGCATATTCTAAACATTTAAAAAAAAAAGGAATCCAATACGACATGCTCTCTTGCAACGGCATTATTTCACTTAGCATGTTTTTAAAGTTCATTCAGATTGTAGCATGGATAGTATTTCATTCTTTTTCGTTGCCAAGTAATACTCAATATTACAGAGCTGTTCCATATTTTGTTTATCTACCATTTGTTGCTGGCTATTTGGTTGGTTTTCGCCTTTCCATTACTGTGAATAGTGCTGCTATGAACATCCGTGTACAAAGTATACATTTGGCAGTGGAATTATTAGGTCATATGGTAATTCTATGCTTAGCTTTTTGAGACTATTGGTCTTCTTACAATGGCTGCTCCGTTTTACATGCCTATCAGAAATGATGAGAGTTCCAAATTCTTGGTATCTCCACTAACACTTGTTATTTATTTATTTTTATTACAGCCATCCTTGTGGTTGTGAAGAGGTATCTCATTGTGCTTTTGCCCATCCCTTTTTATTCCCTCAAATACCAGTTTCCCTCTCTAGTAAAAAACTAGAAGGAAAATCATTTTCTCCTGCCACGTCCTAGCATAGCCTGAAAAATAAATCTGTGAATTGGCACATATACACGTCACAATACCACTTCAGAACCTATAGGTATCTTTTAAACATGGTTATTGCTTTAAAATTGGTCCCTGAAGATTCTGGCAATTTTCCATGACACCCCCCCCCCCCAACACACACACAGTGGAATTTACTTAATAACTACATCATAAGCTAAAAGCTAAAATAGAAAATATTTTGAGAACCTGTATTTCCTCCCTTAGTCGATTATGCTATTTTTTTTTAAATACCTCAAACCAATTTTGATATCAGATTTTGTTTCCCTATAAAGGTGACAAATGTGAGGGTTTAAAAAACAGGTGCGCTCCAAAGGCTTAGAGCCCTATTTGGAGTCGAATGTGGGCAAAGGAACGCAACAGTAAGAGGAGGAAGGAAAACCATTCCAAAAAGTGAGGTCTTCCCGAAAATGTTTACCTTCCGTTTCCCAACCTGGGGTGGTAGTTTTCCTTTAAAGCAAACAAAAATATGTTTTGCCAAATACCGAACTATGTGCATGCATCTGAAGGAACAAAGCAAGGAGACAAGGTGGAGATGCCTTCCGCAGGTTATGAGAGGTTGGGAAGGATTTTCTTACAAAGGAGCGGCTACTGACGGGACACCTGGAGTGCTACATATGCAAATAAGTGCTGGCAAAGAGTCCCTGAAGTACTTGGAGAAGTCATCACGGGTTATGAAACTTTGTGTTCTAATTGTCATGAGAAGCAGTGAAAAGCAGTTCAGGTAACACAGCTGAAGGGGAGTGGTGGCTGGGGAAAGAAAATAAATACGGCTGATCTAGGTCTTTTTGGACAGTTGAGGTCTTCAGAGCTGCCAATCCAGCAGAATTAGGGGAAAAAACACCCTTTTCTCAGACCGTGGTAAAATAAATACAGACTTTAAATATGTTCATGAGTTGCCGGCTTCTCTGGATCCAGAGGGAGTCCCATTAAAATGATGATATTTATATCAGGGTTTTTTTTCCCTCCACCATGGTCAAGTTCTCTCTAATCAGAGAAGAGGGATGCTGGTGGATGTTAGCAGGGTCAGATCTCCCACAAACTCAGAATTGCCCCACATCTACAAAGCAAGAGTCCTCAGAGCCTATTTAAGCCACAAGGAATTTGGGTAATCAATTCATGTATTCAGAGAGCAGTAGGTATGCAGAAAGTTACGCTGGAGTGGTCGGTACCTTCTTGCTTTGGAGTTGGGAGACACTCTAAGGCTTACCCAGGGCAGAAAACCTTCCTATGATACATTCCTGTCTGCGGCTTGAAAATACCTACCTACTGCCGTATTCTAGCCAAATTGTTTCATTTACTGTTTCTCTGCTCCTAAATTAACGAGGAAAGACGGTGTGTACAACCCGTGGCCACAACAAGATTAGTCAGAGGAAGCATAACCAAATACACTTGTGTTTTCCCCGCTAGGCGTAGGGCATCCAATTTACCAAGCCTTACCCTGAGTTTTATCTAGAAGATTCTCGATTGCTCCTTAGTTACCCACCTCGACGACAGGAACCTCATTCTTCAAAAATCACTTACAGAGGCTTATGAGCGCTATGGGTTCTGGGATGGGGGTGGGGGTGCCTCAGAGTAGTAAGTCTAGTAAGATACGACAGTCCTTGTCCCAAATAAAAAGCTCACAACTTATTGGCGCACACCTGTTACTATTATCGCCAACCGCTCTTTCTCTCTTCCTTTTAGGAGGACGGCGTTGGGAGAAGGGTATCAAAGCTAATATTTAATTGAGCATTTACTATGCGAAAAAGAGACTCTTCTAAGCGTCTTAGCATTAACTCACTTTGTCTTCAAATAACCCTAGGCAGGTGCAAGTACCATTCTATCCCTATTTTACAGATCAAGAAACTGACTAACAGAGGTTAATTACCCTCCAGGTTGCACAGCCACTCAGCGGCGGAGCCAGCACGCAGGCCGGCTCCTGAGAGCCACGGAAAATGGAGTAAGGCGTGACCGCGGAGACGGAGGGCGCAGAAAAGTGGAGACCCGCGGGGGGCAGGGGGGAGGAGCGCAGAGGGCGGGCTTTGCCGGCGTCAAACAGAACGCTGACTGATCTGCATACCTCCATCATTTTACCTCCAGGTGTCACTCCCAGGAATGGAAAGTTTAAACTCCCAACTCCCCAAGGTTCGCCCTCGAGGCTGAAAGGACCTCCCCGTCGGTGACCGAGGACTCGCTCTTCCTCACAGCCTGGTCGGGAGAGCCGCAGGGCCAGCTGATGCGGACGAACTACAAGCCCCAGTACTCCTCGCGCGGAAAGGCTGGGTCCACGCGGTGGAAACGCGGGGGTGTTCCAAAGGTGCCTGGAGGAAAAAAAAAAATCTCGTACATCTTCCGCCTCTGTCCACTTTCACACACGCCTCGCCTCCATCGTCTGTTGTATTAGAGCACGCAGTGAAGCGTGTGAGGTCGCCCTGTCTGCAGGCACAGCAGAGGGCAGGCACGACCACAGCGCGCGGGCGCGAGGCCCCCCGGGCCGTGAGCGGGGCGGAGCCCGAGGCGGCGGGGCCGGCGCGCAGGCCGGAAGTGTGCGAGGGCGGAGGGAGAGGCGTGAGTGGCTGCGGCCGCGCGCTTCCGGCCAGTGCGTTGACGTCAGCCGGCTGCAAAGGGCTTCTCGGCAGGCTCTCCGGCCGGCACCTTGCGCACTCCGCCGGCTCCCGGGCCCTCAGTCCCCGCTAGTCTCGCCGTAGGCCGCGACGACATGAGCAGCAAAGAAGGTGGCGTCTTCGGCGGCACTGGGCGTTATTTATTCAAAGGGGGAGGATCTCCGTCGTGTTTGTCGGATTTTCCGCTTCTCTTCACCCTTTGAGGGATGCCCTCGCCCCTTGCAGGCTCGGGGAGGCGGCGGCCCCGGTGATTTCCCGGCCACATCGGTCCTATCGACACCTCTCTTTTTACTTAAACCCTCGAGCTGTCATTGTTAATCTTAGTTCGGTAGTCGCTCCACCTTGTGCCAGATCAGGGAAGCCATTGGTGGAGGCCTGAGCGAGGGGAGCTTGAGGTTCGGGGAGAAGAGGCTGGGCTGCGTTTCTGCGAGTCCGCTGGGAACGCCTGTAAGGCGAGAGCCCCGTGGACGCCGGTTTAAGAGGAAGGAAGGGGTTAGCTGACGTTACGTTTTGTCCAGTCTCGTTGGTGGAAGAGCCCTGTCCAACTTTTTTCTCCTTCTCTACATAAGGATCAGGAGGGTTCAGGAAAAGGAAGCATGACAATTTCCCACATAACCAGAGGAGAGAAGGGAAGGATGTTAATTCATCTTCACCTGTGATGTTGGCCTTCAAATGTAAGTTCTCGGTGATGGAAGTTGGCGAAGGGAAGAGAACTAAAGAGGTTGTAACAAGGACGGTTAGACGGGGCGCACACACACGCACACAAACGGCCCGTCATAATTAAAAATGTGCGTGTGCGAATCTTACATTTCCTGGAGGTTGGCTGTGGTGCTAGGTCTGCCATTAAAAGTCGAGATTACCGAAGTCTTGACTTTTGGTTTTTTCCATTACAGTTATTACAGTTCTACGGATAAACAGTTAACACCAGACACGCCATATAACTAAAAATTATTGTGTGCTTGATATGTAAATAAATGTCAGCTGTCTGTATATACACATTATAGTTAATGAACTTCTAGGCATGTGATGGTTTTGTTTCCTCAGCTGACTTTTTTTTTTTAATATTTTTACTTTTTTCTAGGAGAGAGAGAGAGATAGCGTGAGCAGGGGAGGGTCAGAGAGAGAGGGAGTCACAGACTGAAACAGGCTCCAGGCTCTGAGCTGGCAGTCAGCACAGAGCCCGACGCGGGGCTCGAACCCACGAACCGCGAGATCATGACCTAAGCGAAAGTCGGACACTTAACCGACTAAGCCACCCAGGCGCCCCATCCTCAGCTGACTTTTGAAGACAGGGACTACGTTTTTGTTTTGACTCTTAACATTTTGTACAGAGTGGAAACTCCTCTATGAGGAAATCACATATGTACGTGTTATTGTATATACTGTTGGCATATATAGTGTTAATGCATATGTTATGTGTTTTTTCAGTCTTCCTTTTAACGAAGTTGCTCTTCGTTTCAAAACAAACCCTAAAACAAAATTCTCCCTCCTGGTATCTTCCACCCACCGTCCTGTACCTTACAGGTTTTGTTGTTCAGGAACCTGAAAGGACCTGAGCCCCGGATTCTAACTTGCAGTCATCTGAAGGCTGGATTGGGGCTGAAGGAGCCAAAGCAATTCACAAGTTAGGCTTTCTGCCAAACGGCTCTCACTCCCTCCATGGTCTGCTCCATGGTGCCCCTTGAGTGTCCTGATGTTATAGCATCTAGCTTCCCCCAGTCAGAGCAAGGAGGAAGCTACAGTGTCCTTGTGCCCTGATCTCAGACATAATAACACGGTCACTTTTTCTACCTTCTCTTAGAAATGAGGCAGTTTAAAAACTGCTTCATATTTAAGGGAAGGGAATTTGTTTCCACCTCTTGAAGGGAGTCTCAAATAATTTGTGGGCATAGTTTATTTTATTCATTGATTCATTCATTCTCAAGTTAGTTAACGTACAGTGTTACGTTGGGTTTGACTCCTAAAGCTAAGGAGTCAAACCCAATAATTCATCTCTTAATATGACACCCAATGCTCGTCCCCAAAAGTGCCCTTCATTATTAATGCCTGTCACCCATTTAACCCACTGTCCCAGCCATCAACCCTCAGTTTGTTCTTTGTAATGAGTCTCTTATGGTTTGCCTCCCTTTCTGTTTTTATCTTATTTTTCCTCCCCTTCCCCATGTTCATCTGTTAAGTTTCTCAAATTCTACATGAGTGAAATCATATGATATCTGTCCTTCTCTGACTTATTTTGCTTAGCATGATACTCTCCAGTTCTATCCACATTGTTGCAAATGGCAAGGTTTCATTACTTTTCATCACTGAGTAGTAGTCCACTGAGAGAGAGAGAGAGAGTGTGTGTGTGTGTGTGTGCACACCACATCTTTTTGTCAAAAAAATTATTTATTTCTTTGTTTTTATTCTCAAAAAATACACTGTCGGCTTTGGGAGTAGACCCCAGTGATTCATCACTCATATTGAACACCTGGTGCTCATCCCAACAGGTTCCCTCCTTAATGTGCGGGCATGTTTCAGAACCACCAGAGCACCCACAGCGAGCTTCAGCGGTATAAGACCACTTGTGATTGAGTGGAGAGTGTACTGATACAACTATACGTATACAGAGTGGAAAAACTGCACTGGGCCAACTGTTCCCCATCCTGATACACTCTGATGTCTCCCATACAGAGCTACTTATTTCCAAGCACATGTTGCTTTTGTATGTTTCTGTCTGCCTTTTCACACATTCTTTAAGCTTGGAGCTGCTTCTCATTGGATTCCCCCATTGTCCACCCAGTGAACTATGGTTTTCTTCAAGACCCTGCTCAAGTAGCTTCTTCCTTTGAAGCCTCTATGATTTTTCTCTCAAGCAAATTTATTGACAGGCATTGCATTTACTCATTATCCATTCATCCATTTAGTCATGAAATATTGGTTGAGCATCTACCATGTTCTAGAATGTGTTAGGAGTGAATAAGAAGAATGCGGATCCTGCTTTCCTAAACCCTTACAGAGATGTATTGAGTATTTTACTTATTTGTTTACATCTTTGTCTTGTGCTGGACTGAGCTTGAGGGTAGGAATTGTCTTATTTAACTTTGTATTTGTAGTATTTAGTTCACAGGGATCATTAATATTTACGATAAGTAAAAACTTTTGATTGTCTTGAAATATTAGGCAAAATCCGAGCTTAATTATTATCTCAGTAATAAAAGGACAGATGTCTTCGGTCCTTGTCAACCTGTTATTTGGTTAATAGTTTATTCAAGTTCTGGGATTTTTTTAATTTATGCAAAGTACATCTGGGTGCTCCCTATAGGGCAGGCAGTTTGCTGGGTCTTTGGGGTAACAATGCTTCTGGAATAAAGTGCTAATTAGGAGTTAAGTGGTTATTAGATATTTCAGTGACTAGGGCTTGGAAAATCAGAAATTTCATGTTGATGTCATTAAAAGTTATAAACTTTAATTTTTTAATTAAAGAAATTCAATTTTTTTTGAGGAAGAGGTAATATCGCATGTGGTTAAAAAAAAGTGATTAAAAACATTATGTAACTTAAGCAGTTGGAAGTAATTTTTTAAAGTCTTGTGTGATGGTTCTGTGATAACAACCTCATGTTTACTAGATGAGGTATTTTTTTATGGTATATACTTCCTATTGTGAGACCGGGACTGGCGAAACCCAGTGAAAGCATATGTGTGTTCAAAGAAAGAATATTTTGGTTACTAGCAGTCTGTGATTTCCAGGTACTTCAAAAGTAAATGAGATGACATGCTCCTCATTTTTATAGAGTAAATAATAGTTGCTTTATTATGCCTAATAACAATGTTAGGCTCAAAGTATAGATTATGCATGCTTATGGTTGTAATACTGTGTTCTTAGCATTTCAGCAGGAACTTGATGCAAGACACGACAAATATGAGAGACTTGTGAAACTCAGTCGGGATATAACTGTGGAAAGTAAAAGGACAATTTTTCTCCTCCATAGAATTACAAGGTGGGTAAATATCTCTAAAATTTGTTACAGTTGCTTACACTTGGATATGTGTTGTATATATACTTTGTAATGCTTTATACTTCAGTGGATAGCTAGCTGTTAGAAGATTCTGTGATTTATTCTATGAATACGGGGATTGGAGGATGTTAGCAGCAAGAAGATTTTAAGAATAAGTATTTTAATCAGAATAGGAAGAGAAAGGTTTTATTTTTTATGTCTGTTTATTATTTTTGAGAGAGAGAGTGAGTGTCAGTGGAGGAGGAGCAGAGAGAGGGAGAGAGAGAATACCAGGTAGGCTCCGCACTGTCAGTACAGAGATCGATGTGGGGCTCGAACCCATGAACCCTGAGATCATGATGTGACCCACAGTTGGACACTTAGCTGACTAAGCCACCCAGGCTCCCCAAGAAGGGAAAGTTCTTATTTTCAGAGCAACTAGGAATTTTCTGTTAACAGTGCTCAGTGGTATAGCTACTGTTTGTAAAAATACTAAATTTCTAGTGGTTGACTAGAGCTTATTACGTTAAAGCTTTACTTAGGTGTTACGTGCAAAATTTCAATATAGATAAATGTGGAAATCTGCTTTAATTTATCTTCCCATTCATTTTCCAACTCCTTGCAATCTGCTTTTCTGCCTCACAACTGTTGAAATTGCCCTTGTACCTTGATATTGTTAAATCTAGTGCATACTCTTATTTTACGCTTTTGCAGCATATAATACTACTGACTACTTAATTTTTTGAAAGTTCCTTTTCCTGCAGCTCTGAGACATCTTTTCTTTGAAATTCCTATCTGTAGGATTTCGTTATTTTTATTTTTCTATGTAGGCTCTGTATATATCCTAGATTCCTTGGTTGTGTGTATGTAAAAGAAAACTGCTTAAATTAGCCCTAAGCAGAGGAGGAAAACGAATTTTAAATTTTTAGGAATTTCTTATGAATGCAGCTGGGTATCTTTATCTTTCATCCTTGTTTGCTTCATTTTTCATTTAGTCACCTTTCTTTGCTTTTCTGTTTTACATGAGGTTAGAAAGTGCCCACCATGGGGCATCTGAGTGGCTCAGTCAGTTTAGCATCCATGTGTTCAGGCCCCTTATCAGGCTCTGTCTGTGCCGACATCGGGCTCTGCTGACAGCTCAGAGCCTGGAGCCTGCTTTGGATTCTGTGTCTCCCTCTCTCTCTGCCCCTCCTCTGCTCACGCTCTGTCTTTCTTTCTCCCCAAAATAAAATAAGACATTAGAAAAATTTTAACAAAACAAAACAGGAAAGTGCCCTCTACCCCCAACGTGGGGGGAGAGATTGTTACAAATGCCCCTAGAAGGATTTATACTATATATCTTAAAAAGTATTTAAAGAAGTCCAAATATAATTTGCCATTTTTTATTATTGAAAATATTACTGAAGTTTTCTATTCACTCATTTGCAACTTTTAAGATAACTAATAGTTTAGTTTTTATTGTATTAAGTGGATGTGAATTTGCCATACGTAGATTTATTGGAATGTGACACTGTTAACCTTTTCTTTATCTTAGTCTGACTGTAAACTTTTTGCTTTTTTTTTTTTTAACGAGCTCTCAGCTTATATTATGGAAGGAATATAAACTATTTTTGAACTTGAGCTTATGGAAAGAAACAGCACTGTTTTGATTAATTATGAATAGTTTTTCAATACAAATTAGAATTTAAAAACAATTGACATCAATATTCATCAGTTTAAAGAAATAATAGAACTGTGGCAGGGGATCTTAACATTTTAGAAAAAGCCATGTTATTATGTAAAGTTATTTTGTAAGTGTTTCTTTACCAATAAATTCTTATTATAGTGAACTTAGAAAATAGTAATCTTTAGAATAAATTGTAGAAAAGTAAAGATACTGAATGAAAGAAGTCAGTCACAATACCAAAGAAAGCTACTGTTACTGAGCAGATTTCATATTTTATGCACTTTTGTTTTTTAAAGCTCTGTGCCTAATGTGGGGCTTGAACTCATAATGATCAAGAGTCGTGTGCTCTACTGACTGAGCCAGCCAGACACCCCAATTTTCCTTTTTTTAAGTTTTATATATTTTGATTTGATTTTTTAAAAAAATCTTTTTCCTTTTTGTAAATTCAAATTTTAGTTAACAGTGCAATATTGGTTTCAGGAGTAGAATTCAGTGATTGATCACTTACATAAACAGCCAGTGCTCATCACAACAAGTGCCCTCCTTAGTACCTACCACCTGTTTAGCCCATCCTCCACCCACCTCCCTCTGTCAACCCATAGTTTGTTCTCTATCATTAAGAGACTCTTGTGGTTTATTTCCTCCCCTCCCCACTTCCTGTATGATCATCTGTTTTGTTTCTTAAATTGATTTTACATATTTTTTTAATGTTTATTTTTGAGAGAGAGAGAGAGAAAGCATGAACAGGAGAGGGTCAGAGAGAGAAGGAGACATAGAATCTGAAGCAGGATCCAGGCTCTGTACTGTCCGCACAGAGCCCAACATGGAACACACCCCACGAGCTGTGAGATACCTGAGCTGAAGTTGGACACTTAACCAACTGAGCCACCCAGACGCCCTTGATTTTACATATTTTTAATAAATGTAATAAAATAAAACTGTGGTTTTGAGTTAGAAGCATCCAGATAGAATATTAATTCAGTCCTATGTTTATTGATATTTAGAGAATTTCAGTTTTTCACTAACAATGCATCTGGCTGATATATTGATTGTAGTGCTCCTGATATGGAAGAGATTTTGACAGAATCAGAAATGAAATTGGATGGTGTTAGACAAAAGATCTTGCAGGTAGCCCAGGAGCTCTCAGGAGAAGACATGCATCAGTTCCATAGAGCCATTACCACAGGTAAGTCCAGGTTCACTTCAGTGGTAACTTTTTTTTTTTTATTAAAACTAGTGTGTTACATGATTTATGTGTGGGTTGCATTAATTTTAATTGACACTTGGTGAAATATTAACCTTAAAAATTGGGACTTCTGAATAATGATGTAAAGATAATTTAAAAATGTTAAATTGGCTTTGTTTTTCTAACTGTAGAATAGTCATTGATAGATTTTAATGAAGTAGTTGGAAAAAGACCTGACAGAGTAAACTTTATTTATTCTTGAGTGTAGAGCGTGTATTCAGACAGGGCACATCTCATTTCCTACTATGGGCATATCTTACTGGTGGCTCTAAGTTTCAGTTTTAGTGGGCTCATAAAAGGGAAGGTATCACCTAGCCAGATGGACCCAGACATCTCACAGTGTGACTCCATAGTGGAATTTTAAGAGAGTACTGGGTTTTATATGAACACAAATTGCTTCAAATATACATACATCAACTGCATAAATAGTTAACGTGCTTGGTTCTTTTCTCTTCATCCTTTTTTTAATGTGAGTTCACTGACAGGAGAGGTACTATATAATTAAAGAAGACAAAAGTTGATTCATATTTACACAAGTATGTGAAATTATATGTTCTATCAAATAGCAGATTCCACTGAACTCAAGGCATTTCGTCATGAGAAATGAGTTTATGTGGTACCTGGTCAGTATAGATCTAATTGTAGTGTGAACATTTATAATTTCACTTGTTTTCAGAAATGGCAATCTGTAATATGTTCAAATGTCTTTGGTTGTTGTTACCCAGTGATTATATGTACAGTTGACCTTTGAGCAGTGCTGTGATTGGGATGCTGACCTCTTGCAAAGCCAGAAATCTGCATGAAACTTTTGACACTCCCCAGACTTAACTGCCAGTAGCCAGCCATTGACTGGAAGTCATACTGATAATGTAAACAGTTTATTAACATGCATTTTGTATGTTATATGTATTTACTGTATTCTTACAATAAAGAGAAAAGAAGATATTTTTAAAAATACAGGGAAATGCATTTATAGTTCTGTACTACATTTATTGAGAAATCCACGTATATATGGACTATTGCAGTTGAAACCAATGTTGTTCAAGGGTTACCTGTTAGTGTATGTGTATTTTTTATTGAGGTATAACTGACATATAACATTATATTAGTTTTAGGTATACATTGTACGTATTGTGAAATGATCACTAAAATAAGTCTAGTTAACATCCATCACTATACAGTTATAATTTTTTCTTATGAACTTTCAGGATCTATTTTCTTAGCACGTTGAAAGTATGCAATATGGTATTATTAACTATAGTTGCCATGCTGTGCATTACATCCCTAGGACTTTAGAAGTTTGTACATTTTGAGTCCCTTCACCCATTTTGCCCATCTCCCACCTCTGGCAATCACTTGAAATGTCTTTTGATACCAATGAAAGAAAGTACCTGCTCACCTCAGTTAAAGCTGGGGTGTGTTACTAGAAACTGAAGTGATAATTCAAACAGTTGTATGAAGAGTCATTAGAGTCTTTTCTATCATTGTTACTTACTATCAGATTTATTTTTTTTAAGTAATAGTGCACATAATGAAAAAGGTTTAATGAACTCCATCTCTGCTGTCGTGTGGCATGACCTTGACTATGACAGATTGGCAGGGCTGGGAGAGAAGATCTGAGTATCGGTGAAATGGGTAAAGCAAAAGCTGAAACAAGCCTCGTGAGGAAAGCATGATAATATGTTCATTATCTTATGGCAGAAAAGATGTTTAAAAATGACACAAGCATTGGGGCGCCTGGGAGGCTCAGTCACTGGTTGAGCGTCCAACTCTTGGTTTTGGCTTGGGTCATGATCTCACAGCCCCATACCGGGCTCCGTGCTAACATTGCAAAGCTTGCTTGGAATTCTCTCTCCCCCTTTCTGCTCCTCCCCTACTTGCCCATGGGTATGTGCATGCTCTGTCTCTTTCTCTAAATAAATAAATAAACTTAAAAAAAAACTTGGGGCACCATGGTGGCTCAGCCCATTGAGCATCTGGTCTTGGTCTTGGCTCAGGTCATGGTCTCACAGTTCGTGAATTGAGCCTGTGTCAAGCCCTGTGTGGGGTTCTACACTGACCAGGCAGAGCCTCCTTCGGATTCTCTCCCTCCTTCCCTGTCTTTGCCCCCCAACACCATGCTCATACTCTCTCTCAGAATTAACAACTGAAAAATATGACACACGCATTAACTGCTGAAGGAAAAATGTATCAATTGAATTTCATCAAAATTAAGACATTTATCAGAAGTCTTATCTTCTGATTTATCTTTTTTTTTTAAGTGAAAAGGCAAGCTGAAGTCTGAGAGAAGACATTTACATACATGCCTTGGATAAAAGATGCATATACAGAATCCCTGCAAATCAACAAGAAAACAAGCAATTTTAAAAATGGACGGGCTCCTGGCTGGCTAGTTGGTGGAGATTCTTAATCTCTGGGCCATGAGTTGGAGTCAATGTTAGGTGTTGAGATTCCTGTTTTAAAAAATGGACACAAAAACTTGAACCGGGGCCTCATAAAAGTGAATATTCATATGGCTAAGTGGCTAAGAAGTGTATGAAAAGGTGCTGAGCATTATTCCCTAGAATGATGCAAAGTAAAGTTAAATGCAATACCATTCACTCACTGGCATGATTATTATAATGACTGATGATTCCCTTTTTTTTTTTTATTTCTAGGAGAGAGAGAGAGAGAGACAGCATGAGCAGGGGAGGGCCAGAGAGAGAGGGAGTCACAGACTGAAACAGGCTCCAGGCTCTGAGCTGGCAGTCGGCACAGAACCCGACGTAGGGCTCGAACCCACAAACCACGAGATCGTGACCTAAGTGAAAGCCGGACACTTAACCGACTAAGCCACCCAGGCGCCCCTGATGATTCCCTTTTTAAAAAGTTTATTTTTATTTATTTTGAAAGAGCAAAATAGCAGGTGGAGAGGGGGCAGAGAGAACGGGAGATGGGAGATAGAATCCCAAGCAGGGTATGCGCTGTCAGTGCAGAGCCTGATGCAGGGCTCAAGCTCACGAATTGTGAGATGACTGAGCCAAAGTCAAGAGTTGGATGCTTAACTGACTGAGTCACCCAAGGGCCCCTGATGATACCGCTTTATTATTTTTATTAGAGAGAGAGCATGAGCAGGGGAGAGGGACAAAGGGTGAGAGAGAGGAGAGAGAGAGAATCCCAAGTAGGCTTGATCCCATCACCCTGGGATCATGACCTAAGCTGAAATCAAGAGTAGGGTGTTCAACTGACTGAACCACGCAGATGCACTAAGACTGACAATACCACTTTAAAAAACTTTGACAGTATCCAGCTAAAAACATGCTCCTACTGTATGATCCCTTTTGGGTATGTACCCAATAAAAGTGAGGCTTATGTCACCAAAAGGCAAAGGCCAGAAAGCTTGTAACAGTCATAATATTCTAAAACTGAAAAATGACCCAGACATCCATCAATAGAAGAGTCGATAAATATATGATGATGTATTTGTACGATGTAAATGCTATGTAGCAATAAAAAACGATAAACATGCATACCAGGAAGTATGAATCTCACATACGTTCTGCTGGGTAAAATAAGCAGACACAAAAGAGTATCTACTGTATAATTCCACTTATGTGAAGTTCAAAAAATGGCAAAATAAATGTAGGGAGTTAGAAGGCAGGGTAATGGTTATCTAGGGGTGGAGGCTAGGGCAGGTGTTTTTGACTAGAGGCATGAGGGAACCTTTTGGAGTAATAGAAATGTTTCCTATTTTTAGCTGGGTGCTGTTACATAGTTTGTACACATGTAAAAATTCGTTAAGTTAAGCATTTAAGGTTTATATTTAAGATTTATGCAGTTTATATAAATTACAACTTTTTTTTTTTTTTTTTTTTAAAACAAAGTCACTATTGACATTGTCTTAGTTCCTTTTTCCAGAGCAGACCTTTGTATTGGGAGATCACATCAACAATCTCTTCAGGGCAGGGGCACCTGGCTGGCATAAGTCAGAAGAGTGTGTGACTCTTGATCTCAGGGTTGTGAGTTTGAGCCCCATGTTGGATACAGAGATCACTTAAATAAAACTTAAAAAAAAAAAAAAAAAAGTCTTCATGGCAGTCTTGCCATGTGGTGAAAATATGTGCAGTGTTTAGTAAAAACAGCATATAAAAACCATTCATATTAACGATGTTCCTTGTCAGAATCCCTTTGATGAGCTTTCTCTTGGGCACCCTGACATTTCTAGTCGTTAGGCCTGGCAGATGATGTTTGTGGTAACGTTTGCCTTGGTCTGTTTGTATCTGCCTGAAGTTTGTATCTGCCTCTTCCATTGGAAGTGGTTTGGGGAGGAGGTAAGCTTAAACATCCAGCATATTGACCTTTGTCAGTTCTCAGGGTTGACTGGAATCCAAAAGTGGCATTTCCAGGCCACCAGTATGTTGTAGGTCTTTTCATGGATATAGATCCAGAGCGCTGCTATTTATCATTTATTGATACGTGACTGTTGTCCCACCATGAGAGTCTCAGTGACTTAGTGCTTTTGTTTCCTCCCCCAGAGCTGGAGGAGTAGCTTTGACCACACTGGAGACAGGTCCATGGCAGGCAGGTTTCGGTCACAGTGGCCCTGCTACGTATACATAGGTACGCGTGTGTCATCTCAAGGACTGTAACAGGTGTGGAGTTGGTAGTGGGGAGCACGTTGGATCTCTCTGTTTCTAGAAAGTCTTTGATCTGAAGAAGCAGTATGGTCTAATGTCTTACTGCATCAGAGTAAACAAATCACATTCTGCAGCTTCTAAACATCCTGTTGACTTGGGTAACTAAAGGCAAGAGTTTGAGTAACTTCCATAAGCTTGATCATTTTTCTGTCACATCACACAGTAAGCCTATCTCGTAAAAATTCATGGGAACGTAATACATATAATAAAAGCTGACTATCCTGGTCTTAACTTTGATTTCAGTCCATGCTTAAAACTTTTATA